GATGACAGAGTTTCATGCTATCAAAGCCAGCATTGAGGAAGACTACTCTAGGGGCAAAAGCAGATTTATCATAAAGTCAATAAAGCAAGGCATAGGACACCTCAATTGGATGGGCCTATTGAGTACTGGAGTTCTTGGATGCTGTAAGCATTCCAGGAAGGAAGGGAAAGTCATTTTAAAATCCAGAAGGATTTATATGTAAGTGCATCTGAAAATTGTCTAACAATGTTAGATGTTAGAAGAAGTATTTTAATCTTCCAGAGTTCAGTGGTTTCTACATTTTTTGTAGTATATTTTTAAACTGTAAATACACATTCATTTTTCTACCTAATTTTTTCTTATAATTGTATATTACTTTTCTTTTCAAAAAGATCTTAAGTCATTTAATCTTCAGCTTTTGCTAATCTTATTTCCGCCTCTGCCTAGACATAGTGTGTGCGAAGACTATAAGATGAAAGTAGGGAGTTGAGTTAGAAGGATTTTACAAGAGTATAGGTATGAGGTATGAAAGACTAGAACTGAAATAAAAACACAGAAAAGAAAAAATAAGAAGAATTAAGTGAGCGGTAAAATACAAAACACAAAAACAGTAAAATCTCATTCTACATTTTTGAGCAATGGTATAAATGACAAGATGGTGTTATTAACAGTAGGCAAGTCAAGAGGAACTTGCTGGTGGCTTGATAAATGAGGTGGAATATCAGTGGAGAAAGTAGGTGCTGGAGAATATAAAGAATTCAGTGTGATATAATTATCATTGCTCTAATGTCCGGCTGACATTCAGAATGAAATACCAAAGATTTGTAGATTTCTGGTATTGTACTTAGAGAACAGAATATTGTGCACATGGGCAGACATTTGCAAATGTGGTTAGGGTAATATACAGTATGTGGCTAAACACAGAACTGTATGAACTGCCCTAAAGCAGGTAAGAGTAAATGAGGAGGAATAGAAACAAGTCTCAAGAAAATGAGTTTGTTTTAGTTGAGTATACAGTCTTTGAGTTTTGTGCAAAGGTGGTCATATGATTTTTTGTTTGGTTTTGTTGAGACAGAGTCTGGCTCTGTCACCCAGGCTGGAGTGCAGTAGCACCATCTGGGCTCACTACAACCTCTGTCTTCTGGGTTCAAGCAATTCTCCTGCCTCAGCCTCCTGAGTACCTGGGACGACAGATGCGTGCCACCACATTCAGCTAATTTTTTTTTTTAAATTTTTTAGTAGAGATGAAGTTTTCAGAGTGTTAGCCATGGTGGTCTCAATCTCCTGACCTTGTGATCTGCCTGCCTTGGCCTCCCACAGTGCTGGGATTACAGATGTGAGCCACCATGCCCAGCCTGTGATCTTTATAAAAACTAATTCAGTAGAGTCATCCTTTGGTATCTGTGTGGGATTGGTTCTAGGACTTCTGAGGATGCTTAAGTCCCTTAAATAAAGTGGCATAATATTTGCATATTACCTAGGCACACTGTCTCATATACTTCAAGTCATCTCTAGCTTGCTTATAAATCTTCATACAATGCAAATGACATGTAAATAGCTGCTATACTGGTGTTGTCTAGGGAATAATGACAAGAAAAGAATGTTTATACATGGTGAATATAGGCACAACCCTCTTTTTTTCCCCATATATTTTCAATCAGTTGACTGAATTCACAGATACAGACCTTGCAGATCTGTAGGCTAACTACATAGTGATGAGAACCACAGTCTGAATAATCTGAATGTGAAGGACTACTGAAGAATTTTGTGGTAATAGTATCATCTGTGAGTATAAAATGCTCTTTCGAGAAACCTGACAAAGGAAGATGAACTTAGATTGTAGAAGAACAGTAAGAGATGGATTTTTATATATATAGATATCTGAAAACTTTTTTTTAAGAAAAAAAGAGATTATATGTTCCTCTCAGAGAAAATGGAAAACTGAACATATAAAAGAGTATGGATGGTTGATGAAGCAATGTTCTGAAGAAGATAGAATTATATGGGGCAGAGATGTGAGATTTATTTCTCTAGGGCAAATAAGAACAAGACTTTTCCTCTGTAAAGTCATAAGAAAATACTTGAGAACATTTAGAAAATTTTGAAGTTTTTAATATTGCTAGTTCAGGCTCTTGGAATGATGACTAACACCAAGGTATATTCATGCTAATAAAGACTGAGGTGAAATAGACATCCAGATCCCTGAAGTGGAAAGGTAAAAGAACTGTGAAATCAGCTAGGAAGTCAATATTATTAAGGAGGATACCAGAGGATGCAATTAAAAATAAAGATTATAAATAAAGATCTTAGGAGCTGTGAATATAACCTGGGGGATGGTAAATGACAAATACAAGAAAGAGGGCAAGAGTTAGTTCAAATAGTAAGTGGAAAATTCAAATAAAATGTGTTTGTTAATTAGCATCAATTAAGTTAATTGGTGACAAAGAGAGAGAAATGCATAGCTGTACTCATATTGTATGAAGAATATTCATAGCTACACAGGTATTATAAAGTTTTTATCAAGATCTTATACGAAAGGCTAGGTATAGTTTTGATATAATTTTCAGTTTAAAGAATCACTTGGCCGGGCGCGGTGGCTCACGCCTGTAATCCCAGCACTTTGGGAGGCCGAGGCGGGTGGATCACGAGGTCAAGAGATCGAGACCATCCTGGTCAACATGGTGAAACCCCGTCTCTACTAAAAATACAAAAAATTAGCTGGGCATGGTGGCGCATGCCTGTAATCCCAGCTACTCAGGAGGCTGAGGCAGGAGAATTGCCAGAACCCAGGAGGCGGAGGCTGCGGTGAGCCGAGATCGCGCCATTGCACTCCAGCCTGGGTAACAAGAGCGAAACTCCGTCTCAAAAAACAAACAAACAAACAAAATAAAGAATCACTTAATTCATTTTTATAATAACTATTTGTTAAGAAATTAATAGCAAGTGTCACTGTATTTTTCCAAAGGTTAAGATATCAGGGAAACTATGTATTGAAAACAAAGTCTGATCCGTCTACTATGAGCTGTGTTAGACAAATAGAAGCAAATGATCGAAAAGTCAAATCCTCCAAAAAATATATATTATTTCCTAAACATGAAAGGTTTGCTTTCTGGTGCTTTCATAATTAGATTATTTACTTATTTGCGTCTAAATTCATATCTCCTTTTTTCCATTAAAAAATATCAAATCCACCAAGGGAGGTTATCTCCACCAAGATAAATTAAACAGAAAGACTTGGAGAGAGTTTGGCTCTGAACTGCCTCGTAGTAAGGCACAAAAGTGAACATATTAAGGTTCACAGTCCTGGTGTTGAGATCATGTGAAAACATTCCACTTCCTCAGGGAAAAAAATTAGTTTTCTTGCTTTACATTCTAGAAGAAACGTCTGAAATCAGGTTTTTCGTCATGGACATTAGCAGCCTAATAAACAATGACCTTGACAATACAAAAACTAGCATGAGATTTATTTCTACAAACAAAAAAAGTCAATTGCATAATATTAAAAGCAACTAACTAGGTAATTTTTCAAGAGATTGAGATCATTAAACTTAAATATCTAGGCTATTTGGTTTAACTTGGTACAGTGGCAAAACTTGGGATACAAGAGGATTCATGGACTAAAAGTCTCTTAGATGATATCTTCCCTAAATATTTTCATTTGACTTTTACAAAAATACATGTATGCAGCATGGTGAAAGTCTCATAATGCAAATTCAGGAAACAAAAAAGAAATCATATCACCTGCTGTAGATGATACTCAATAGGGGCCAATCCTACCTTCTTCATAACACTGTGCTTTTTATGGCCTTTTCTATTACTATGAATTTAAGATCAGGACACCTTGGAGATAGGCTTTCTTTTCTGGAACAATAAATATTCTTCAGAGAATTTGCTGAATTTGAGCATCAAAGCCAACAGACTCAATAACAGCTTGACATATTTGTCTACAGATTAATAGTTACGTAACTCATTGGGTTAAGTAAATCTAAAGAAAATGAATATAGTATTTATTGATCAAATTAGATTTTATTAGATTTATTTTTCATAAAGCATAGCCTTTTATATCCAGCTGTGGAGATTTTATGATTTGAGATAATTGGCACAGACATACTCTGAAACCTCTCTTACGTACACCAGCTCCTACCCAATTATACCTAATTAGATTCACAGATCACAAACATTAACAGCCTAGGCTTTTATGCAGCCTTCTCAGATAAGAAGAGAAAAAAAAATGGTTTCACAAAATTTTGAAACTGTTCATATACATAAAAAATAAATGGGCAAAGCATACATTGTAAATGTGTGCATTATTTCTAGATGTAACAATTAGAGCAAAGTGAAATAGAATAAAGTTTAAGAATCATTGATTTCTAATCTCCACCCTATCAAGTAATCTAATGTCAACATAATCTCATCTGTCTATAAAGTCCACCTGAATATGAAAGCTCATGGTACCATCCACCAGCACACAAACATATCCAGTACAACAAATCCTTATATTTCTTTCACCTGAGCATTTTCATTCTCTGATCTTTAGTTTCAAGGCCTGCTATTTGTTAACCATTGATATAAAAACAATATCCCTTAGATGGATCCATTTCCTTTTGTTCTAGAGAATGCCATTCTCAGATGCCATCTCAAGCAGTGACTGGTGCTTCAGTTCACAACTTAAATAAGCTCATGCCCACTTTAGTAGTGACAGAAAGAAAACAAATATGAACGAGATACTGGTTCTCACTGGTATTTACTCATATCACCCTTATTTTCTGTGGCATGGTACCACGCAGTTCTGTGAGCACTGGACTCACAAGATGTTCCTTATTAAATAAACGAAGGGAATAAATACTTCAGGAAGATGAAAAGGAGAAGGGGAAAAAAACAAACGAGCAAACAAAAACCCCTTTGACCTGACATTATGGTAAAAAATAAAAAAAAGACACTAAGATGGAAAAAAAATAGTGTCATGGTTTACATGTGGGATTTTGATGGAGTCTAGGGCTGTGTTTTAATTCAAAACTCACCATCTCAAAACCACTTCTTTTCATCCGCCTGCAGGACTTGAGGTAAGTACGTATACGTTTTCTGGCACGCTCTTGATACTCAGGGAATTGTCGCCTGCATGAGTCAATGATAGCCTGGATCTTTTCTTTGGGCTGCTTAGAGATTGGGACCATTCGGTCCAAGTTTTCATCTACAAACAGCCTGACAAACATCTGTTGGCAAGAGGGAGACAGAGGAGAAGGGTTTGGAGGGCTGCTCTCTTCTGTTCCTAGCTTCCTGTCTTGATTACCGATAGGAAAATACTGTTTTCTGGTTTATGCACTGGAGAACTTTGCAATGGAAAGCCAGAAATTTTAAGCAAACACTCTTTAAAGACTTTCTAAATGGTTGGATTAAAAAATAGAGAGAAAGAGAGAGAAAGGCAAGACAGACAGACAAACATACAGAAAAGAATAGACTATCGTGTAGAAAAAAATCAGGAAATAACAGTAGACTGTGACAATTGAGCACCCCATTACATTCTCTATTAATGATGAATACGACTGTTACATTGCTATACTGCACAGTGGACTAATCTCTGAAATCAAACAATTGACTCTTTTATCATGCATAATTAGATAAGCTAGGAAAGCAAAAGAAATAACAGATGACGGGCGTACTCTTCCGAGGACTAAGCTGAGGCCCCCTCCATCCACTAGGTAAACATGCATACTCACACAACACAACTCCAGTTTTCAGCTCACATTTGGCTTTAAAATTCTAAACAAAACACAGCAATTCTGGTGTCTGGTTGGCAAAGAGTGTTTCATGTACTTTTTAAATCCTTCTGTAAATTAAACAAACATGTCTCTAAAATATCCACATTTACCAACAAGCAACAACATGAAAGTGAAGTGGCAAAAATTAAACCACACTTGGAGTGTGTGGCAGGACTCACATTAAAAGCTTTCAGCCGCTCGGCTTCAACGCCGTCTGTCTCATTAACTTTCTCTGAATCGTCATGGTCCTCGTGGTCATCTTCGTCCTCATCTCCCCTGTTTAGCGAGAGGTCCTCAGCGCCTCGGTCTACACTCTCGTTTTTCCCAGAGTCATAGCTGGAGTAACTATGTGCGGGAGACTGAAAGGAGAAGGTGAAATAAGTGCTTTTAAATTCATTGCACAAGCATATAAATTTTATGTTTCATCTTTAATTTCAACTGTTTCTCAAAAACCTTGTTTATGAGTTGCTAACTCTAGAGCGGTGGTGATTTTAGTTTAAATCAAAATTAATTCAAATTAACTTAAAAATTCATTTCCTTGGTCACTTCACACTAGTCACATTGCAAGTGCTGGTTGGCTGCATGGAATGTTTCCATCATTGCAGAAAGTTTTATTGAACTTAGCTGTTCAAGTGCGATTACTGTTTCCTCTCAATATTCATATTCCAAGTAAAAAAGCAATGTGTAATTGATTTTGCAAGAGAATCAGTAAGTCACATATTCATAGAACTTAATGTGACCTCTTTGTTGGTATTAGTATCATACTTTATATAATGTTATATTATATCAATATTATATTAACTTTAATAGTATTATTTAAACAGGTATGGAAATTGAGGATGGAATGTTTAATTAACTTGCCCAGCAAGAGCTATACAAAATGTTATTGAGATTAGGACTGTTAGTTATTAGTTAACATGTTTTAAAATAAATGTATAAATTGTCTATGAGTCTTAAGAGGGCATCTGATTTTGGTTTAGAAAATGGGAACCAGGTTTCTTCCTAATCATCTGTTAAGTTTAATGTTTCTGGATTCTAACACTATTCAAAAGACACAACAAATTAAAAGCAAGAACAATTAAATAATAATGATGCATATTTCCATGTAAAAATCATGAAACATCTGAAAAATTGAAAATGTTTAACAGTTCATTTTCACATGTAAATAGCTGATAGCCTTCAACAAATTTAAAGCAAGAACAATTAAATAATAATGATGCATATTTCCAGGTAAAAATCATAAAACATCTGAAAAATTAAAAACGTTTAACAGTTCACTTTCACATGTAAACAGCTGATAGCCTTCTTAGAGATTCAGTTATCAGAATACAATTCATAAGCATATCTATATGTTCATGGGCTGTTTAAAATAAATCAACTGGCTTTGATCAATTTCCATTTTGGGATTACACCTATTCCAAATATTTTCTCTTAGGACCCTCTAGGATAATTCCAGAGTAAGTTTGGAATTATCCTGGGTAATAGATAATTTTAGAGTAAGTTTGGAAGAGTGACCTGGAAACAAAGAAAATCCAGGTATGTGGTGTGATAAGGAGCTTGATTCAGCCATGTACATCATAACAATAAACTATTTTATATAATCTGTTTGAGACCATAACATTAGCCAATCTTAGCCAATCTTAGCATATTCTAGGTACTTTTGATAAGATACTAAACTAAGATGTAATCAAATTTAAAAAGGAGTATTCTCTATTTTTATTTCATGATATAAAACATATTTTCTGAGACATCAAATACCATAAAGCAAATAATGAAGCAAGTAAGTGAGAGGTAAAGAGAATTAGCACTTAGCACAACTGCATACCTAGACAATTGGTTACCTTAAGCTTCATAGCAACCAGCTGAAAAAGGATTATCCTCCAGATTCTACAGATAAGAAAACAGCTTCAGAAAGCCGAAACCATCTTTTTCTATCTGAAGAATGAGATTATATAACAAGTATGCGAACCTAGGTCTACCTAGGAGCTAACAGTGATCAAATAAGGTTTTCTCTTCAACATGAAGTATTTCTTTTTAAGGATGTATGTGTGTTTTTGTGTGTATAATTGAAAGAATGTAAAATATTTACTGGTTTATGTACATGTTAATATTTAAACAAAACATTTTATAAGTGATTTCCCCTAAAACTGTTATTCCACCTAAATAAATTGGATACATAATTTACATTTTCTTATAGAACAGTAAATTTGCTTACAATTTCTTTATATAATAGAATCTATTTAAATAATTTATTAGTGCTATACCCACAGTTTTACTTGTTTCACTGGATAAAGTAAAATATAGATACACTATTATAATCAAATGCAGATAATTATATTTTATTAAATATAAAACATCTACAGAAGGAAATAGTAACAAGCTCTCTTGTTTTTCAACTTAGGACCAAACACACTCTGGAATAAATATATCTATTTTAGGAAAAATATATATTTAAGAGAATAAACTCTTAATAAACAGCAATAACATACAACTTTTAAGAACAACATGGTTAACAGTAATCTCTAAAAACTCCTGCTCCAACTCCAAATGTCTATCTCAAAGTCAGTCATTTCTTCCCTCAGCAAATCTTTATATTGAGTATCACTACATATTTTGTTTTGTGCCAACATACTCTGCCACAGAACAATAGTCATTCAATAAATTATTTATGGGCACCTATTATGCATCAGACACTATTCTAACCTTTTAAATACATAACTCACTTACAACAAAATGGTTAAGTGACTCCCAATTCACATAGCTAGCAAGTGAAAAAGGATCTGAATCCTTTGGCTCTGAGTGTATCATCTTCACACTATTCTATGCTGTCTCTATAGGATGACTACTTATGAGGCTATTGTTATAATATCAGTAGAAATCAATTCCTAAGGAACTGTATTTCTTGACACAAACTTTTAAAATAGAAGTACCTCTGTGACAAGAAATAGTAAACCCATTTCATTATTTAACATCTGACTATGAATTTCTCTGAGCCAATCTAATAGAATACATGTATTTTACATGGGCTGGAGCCTATTTAATAATGTTTTGTATTCATGAAGTGTCTTAAAATTTACGTGGAGCTTTAACTTCCATTTAACAACTTCACAGAACTAGTATTAATATTTAAATATCTCTATATTATAAATGATTTCAAATATATACATAATAATTATACTACTAAATTATATTAATATAGTTAATGGTTAGTTTTATGTGTCAACTTGACTGGATTGACACGGTGTTCAGATATTTGGCTACCCATTATTTTCAGGTGTATCTGTGAGGATATTTCTGGATGAGATTGACATTTGAAGTGGTAGAATCATTAAAAGAGATTGTTCTTCACAGTGTGTGTATGGGGGGATGAGGGGGAGGGCATAAGGGCATAATCCAGTGCCTCAAGGGCTTAAATAGAACAAAAAGCAGAGGGAAGAAAAATTTGCCCATTCTGCCTGACTGCTGAGCTGAGAGACTTACTGAGAATTCTGAGTCCCTGGTTCTTAGGCCTTTAAACTGGAACTGAACTCTACCACTGGGTTTCCTGGATATTCAGCTTGCAGATAGCAGATCCATGGCACTTCTCAGCCTTCATAATCTTATGAGCCAATACTTTATTCTATATATTTTAGATCTTATTGATTCTGTTTCTCTGGAGAACCCTGACTGGTAATATGTTATTCACATTATAAGTAACCTCATTAAGGCTCAGTTAACTTAATTTGATGGGCTAACCTCAGACACTGAGAAAAGTGGTAGAGAAGTTAACTAGAGGCCATCCATTCATCACTGGGCCGATAAAACTATATAGGATTTCAGCATTGGGGAAGCATGGGAGTTAGCAAAAAAATTAAAAGTTGAGTTTCAGAATCTCAGTGGATTGCAAAAGCTGAAGGAGAAAGACAAATGTGTAAAGAAAAATGAATGTGAATTCAGACAGTTTTCATAAACTTCTATAATTGTGTCCAAGACCAAACATGGGGCTTGTTACGGTGTCTCTTACTTGTTTGTTGGCCCAGCACCTTTTGCTTTGAGAAAAAGACCCCTTGCTCTACCAGCTGAAATTGCCAATCCTTTGGGTACCAACCTTCTGTATGCTAGGCATGCACTTTTGCCTCTAAGTGAAGATGGCTGGCCTTAGTCTAAAATCAAGCTGAATCCAGCAGAGCTAAGGAGCACAGAGTTGTGATAGCATCATTTGTGCATCTAGATCTCACTATTACTGAAATTAAGCCCTGGGGTCTTAAGTTGTATAACACCATACATCCTCTACCCACCCACCAACATGCTTTTAAATTTTGCTTAAATTTGAGTTTCAGTCACCTGAGATTGAATCTGGAGTGGCACAGCAACCAATCATTAGAGGACAGATTAAAAATACAGATATCACACATGATCATTCAAATATATAGATCGCCCCAGCCAAATGAATAATATGCTCTTTGTAAGCAGCAGCAGATATTCTCAAATCTACCAACAAAGAAAATGATAATGAATGACTTTTATGAAGGGAAATTTTAAATTGACAGTGTTCAAAACTGCCTCCGTGCAATGATAACATACGTGTAGCATGCTTTATGGAACACACTAATATATTATAACTGTGTAATCAGTGGAGGGATAATAATACTAGAACAGATTTCTGACATTAACAGTAAAGTTAAATTTTAAAAACCAGCAAAATTTCTTTACAATTCACATCATTAACAAGGTGAAATTACCAATATATTAAGGAAAATATTCCATAGGTTTGAAAAGTCTATCTTAAATCTAAAATGTAATAAGCATAATATATTTTTGAATGGCAATGTGAAATATTTAAAAATGTTACAATACACTTATTTGAATGCAAATATTCTGGGCTAATTCATTCACTGCAGCTGTTTGATGGACACAGAAACACTTGGAACAATGAAAAATGTATAGCCCTGTTTACTCAAGTTTTAAAGAAAGCACAATCTTGCAGATCTGAAAATATTCAGGATCTAAATCTGAAGGATGATTGATGTTATTTTCCTCTACAAAACAAACTGAAATTTTTATAGCTGAATTCTGTTTTTTAGCTTAATTATCATTTCTTGCCTTTCTTCCCATTTAGGGCCTATCTTTTAAGATCGGATTAAGTTAAATTTCTACAAATTTTCCAGCTTCTTTCTCAGTCTACTTCAATCATTCCCTAAACTGTGACGTCAAGTTACTTAATTTGACACAGATTTAAATACTATCATTGCTCTCTACTTTTCAAATTAATTTGCATTTTTCTTCAAACTAGTCTGAGATAAAAACCAATACATACCCCTCATAGAATCCAATACATGAACTTTACAGATCGGAATTCAAGACTGCCTATAATTTCTCT